CTTCTCTACCTTCATCCACCCATTTCTGAAGTACTTGAGGGATGGAATCTTTAGGCTTACGCACACGTACGAGCCTGGTAAAAAGTGAGTCCTTTGGGACAGAATCTGAGGAATCAGACGATGATGGTGTTGATGTTGGCGAGGGAACAGCAGTTGCAGTGGAACAGAAGAATGAAAATGGCCCAAGATTGCTATCTATTGAAAAATAGTTCTTGATTTTGGTTACAGGGTTTAAGGAAGAAGAAGAAGTGAAAGAACGAAGGAGGTTTCTGGCCATCATGTGTTTTCCTACATTAGCAATTGCCAGCTCTTGCAGCTGTCTATATATCTTTCGTCTCTAAAGAGAGTACTAATTGATGAAAAACCGAAAAAGTTTTATAAAGATATTCAAATTTAGGCCTGTCAATCGGGCCTAATGAGCCGGGCTTTGATGAGTTCAAGCTCAGCTCATTTAATTTGAAACATTTTCGGGTTTCGGGCTATGAGTTTCGGGTTCGTAAATGTGAAGCTCATACTCAACTCACATAATATTCGGGTTGTGAGCCTTAATCGGGCTTAGGCCAAGCTCACTTATTACTCCTGAATTTTCTTAATATAATTACTATAACTATTAAGTTGTAAAACTAATTTAACATTTACAAGACTATAATATTAAAACTAAACATGAACAAATAATAGTTCTTAAAAAGTATATAAACCAAAATTTTTTCAACAATATTTATATGTAATCCGTTTAAAATGCATGAAAAATAGTAATAAAACATGCAATCATAAGCCAATACATCTTTAAAAGTTGAAACTTTTTTTATAATCTTGTGATTTAAATCCAAATATGCTTGATGATTTTTGTGTTTGTAGACCAAAAAAAAAAAATCAACCAATAATATGCCAATACAAAAAGTTACTCAACCAATAAGAAAAATTAGAGATTTAGTTATGCATTACTAATATTGGCTCTCAAGAAAGCTCATGAAAGAGTCTTTAGATGTGTTTTTGTGTTTTGTAATTTATATATATATTTAGTATTTAGCAAAAATATATTTGGATATATAATTATACATAATATCAAAATATAAATATTATATATATAGGTAATTAAAGGGCCGGGCCTATATCGGGTATGAGCCTAATAAGGCCCAAGCTCGGCTCACATTTAATTCGGGCCTAATTTTTAGGCTCAAACTCAGACCGGCTCACTAAATGATCGGGCTCATCGAGCTTTCTGTCGGGCCGAACGAGCCGAGCTCGGGCTGACCCAGCCCCATTGACAGTCCTATTCAAATTATCAAGGATATTAGACCGGGCTCTAATCATTCTCATCCTTGTTAAGCAACATTTGGGTCCTAAGTTTAATCCTAGTAGACAATTCCCTTGGAATAAAATGACCCCTATTTGTTGTATGGAAGGTATAATTGATTCTAATTAGTTGAGTTGAGTTAAAAAACTTGAACTCCAGTTTCCCGAATTCTTGAAAATTAAATTTGAATTCGGGGTTAATTTTGTTTTATCTCGAGCTCAAGCTCAGTCAAATTAAGTTCAGTCAAATTCAATTTGAATTCATTTAATCAAATCTAATTGAGTTTAAGTAATATAAATTTATATTTTATATAATCATATATATATTTATATATATAATAAAGTTGTATTCTCGTTCTTATCGCTTTATGCTTTCTCTTTCCTACGTAACGACAGGGCAAGTGGTTTCACCACGCTCTATAAAATAACCTACGCTCTTCCATCTCTATCTTTTTTTTTTCTTCCATCTCTCTCTTCTTTTGCCTTTGTTTATTTATTCCATGATTTCCATCTTTTTAAAAAAAAAAAAAAAAAAACCTATGCTCTATATGGAGCTTATCTCTCTCTTTCCATAAGCATGAAATCAATTATCCATATCTATTTAAATTAAATTTCAAATATAAAACCGTCATTAGCATTCTATCTTTATTCGCGGCCGATTATCATTCTATCATAATCATATGTTTGTGGCCGCTTGCTCTTCTTTTGATTTCAGAACTTCTAGGTATAACAGCAAGGTATGACCCGTATAATTTCTTTAGAATACACGCCTTTAGTAAAACTATTTTTATTATTTTTTTATATTCTTATCAATATCTCTTTATATCCTTATCAATTCTTATTTTCTACCCAAAGTTATGTACTTTAAGCAACTTAAATTAAGATAAAATTACTTTTAATATTCTTATCAATATCTTTTTATATCCTTATCAATTCTTATTTCCCACCCAAAGTTACGTAACTACTTTTAATATTCTTCTCAATATCTCTTTATATGCTTATCAATTTTTATGTCTACATATAGCCTCTTTATATGGTTAGGTATTTCCAGTGCAAGCGGCTGACATATTAAAGCATCGATTTTGGGTTTCCACTCCTCTTGATTATTAGGTAAATCTTCCTTCGATACACATTTTTTTTTTAAAAAGACATGTTCATCTTCAATTGTAAGAATTTAGTAACATATCTTGAATTTTGTGTGTTTTGATTTTATTTTTTATTTGTTTTGTATGAAGGGATACGATTTAAAATAGTATTTTCATCGTAAATTTTCATATAGAAACATGTTAGATGTTTCCACCGAATTGGACAACATTCATATGCTATAGGATGCATGTTAGATGCTTGTTAATTTGCCTTTGTTTCGTTTGTTCAAGATACTGGGCTTGTAGCTAGTGCTGTAGATCCTTACTCAGTGCATATTCCAAGAGTTGAATTTATTATTTTTCCAGCCTTTTTTTCCCAATCACATGTAAGTCTGTTAGTTACTTTAGTTGAACTATCTATTCTATGTTTTTCACTGCTGTTAAACATTCATATTATAAGCATTTGACCTATGTCTCTTGAGTGATCACGAACTGAGAGGGGCAAATTTATTTTCGTTCCTTTTGCGAAGACAATGTCTACTAAATTTTCATCTTGAATTGTGAGTGATCATGGGTTTTGTTGTCCAGAAGTGTAAATACATTTTGTAACTAAAATCTGGAACAATTTCATCTTGAATTGTTCAATTTTATGGAAGTAAATGCTATTGTTGATTACGTCCCATGTTGTTCTTAAATTTTTAATAATCAATTGATGAAGATATTTCTTCAGAAATTTTGTATCTTTAGCTATTATTACTATTAGTTACTTTTGTTGAATTATGTTTTCTATATCTTCCACTGTTGTTAAATATTCATATTATAAGCATTTAGCATATGGCTCTTGAGTGATTATGAACTGAAATGGGAAAATTTATTCTGGTTCCTTCTACAAAATATATATATGTTGGTGTTCAAGGGTCAATGCAACAAGATTTTCATGGGCATAATATATATTCAACTAAATCTACAAATACAATTTAATATAAAAGTATTACCCACTTTAATAAATCAAATACCATAAATAGTCTGGCTAATTAAATGTACAACATTTTATTTTAGCACAAGGAGGTAGATTTAATATACTATTTTACTTTCTTAATCTATAATCTTTATGTATTGTCTTACACAACTTTGAATGTGATAAATCATTTATTTTTTTATACTTAGTTGTCTTGCTTTGCTATCATGCAGTGATAATGGAAAATCAATAAATGCTAATTTGCACGGATAAATGGAGGAGAATGTTCAAATAGAAGAAAAACGAAAAAAGTTTCTGAAGAATAGAATATTATTTGATACTATTTACTGCACTTTTTATTTCTTTTCAAGTTTTTGAATATTATGGTACTGTTGAATGTTATTTTTTCCATTTTTGAATTATTATTCACTGAATTAGATTTTCACATTTATATTAGAAGAATACTTTATATTATGATGCGCACATAGTAATATACTTAAGAAAGGTTATAATAGAATATACATTAAGTTTGTATTTCATATCGACATTTTTATAAAATTGACTAAATAGTTTATTTTTTTCGAAGATTCCTGTTTAACGAACGGATACAAAACTAGTTTAAAATTAAAGTAAATATTATATACACTACCAGTGTATACACTATTACGGTTGGATGCACAACACATATGCAAAATTTGAGTTTCAAATTCAAATTCAGATTAAATGTGTATACACTGTCAATATATAGAATATAAATCCTTAAAATTAGGGATGAGATAAATATTTCGCACTAATAAATTAAAAAATAATTATGTAAAACTCGATTGAGCTCAACAAGTTTTCAAACTTCACATATTAAGTTTGAACTTGAGGTTGTCAAATAGTTTGAGTTGCTCGAACTCGAGCTCAAGTTGAGTTTTGATCGAATAAGCTTACGAACTACTCGATTAATCTCGACTCATTTACACTCAATTCATATTCACTATATTTTTTTCTCCCTTACCTATTCTTTTCTTCCTTTTGTTTACCTTTTGTTTATAGGTAAGAAAATAATCTTAGTTGAAGGGAAGGTTATCGCATTCCAAGCCTAGGGAGTTCCTTTTAATTGGTGGGATTTGCTTCCTTTAAACATGGCGAATGAGTCTTATCGCTTATCAAGACAAATGAGATTTTATCAGTTGAGTCAATCCCAAATATTAACAAGGTGAACGAGCTTTATTGCTTATCAAGGTGAATGAGATTTAACTTCTCAGAAAATACCAATGCTATTCCTCTCAAACTAAGGTACTAATAGCCAGTATAAAACTTAAGAGGGTGACATTAACACTTCCATATAAGTTGCTTTGACATGAAAATTTGGGTTATGGCATCATTAGTTGCGTTTATGAGAAGGATCACAAATACTATAAGGTAAATTATGATTGCACGAATTAGTCTTATGCGATGATCTTGGTGCACTCGTCTTAGTGCCACCTAGTTTATCGAGGAAAAAAAGATGAGAAAAAGTTTTATCCTAGATTTGTTCTTGAGGTTCCCTTCTTTTTTTCTTTTTTCCTTTCCCTTGATTTTCCAGTTTTTTGACGCAATCATATATTCTGAGCTAGACACAATTGAATGAATTGCCAGTTGCAATTACTCACTGAAAAACGGACCAAAAATGCCCAGCAGAAAATTCTCAATTAATCATTATTGGAAGTCACTTGTCAACTCAATGATGTTTACTTTGTTACAAAATGGTCAATTGCATGGCAATGCGAATTCGAACAATAGCTGTACTTGAACAATATGCTTCATATATATCTCGCCTATGTTAAACCCAATCCAGCAACAAGAAGAAAAAGTCAGGTCAATCAACCCAGAGAAGCAGCTAGAAACCGGTATAAAATGGAAAAGTTTTGTAATCCTCAGGGAAGAAGTAGCCAGGGCGTCATTTTCCATTCTCTGCAGTGCAAGCATCAAACTACTAAACTGTACCCCAATGCTAGCAAAATCTGGGATCATATCTTCTTCTGTGGTGAGGTTTCAAGAATTCTTTTATATTACTTTACTTTTTAATTCTCGCTTTGCTTCGAAGCTGATTTCCTTTCAAGAGCTGCCATAAGAGGTTGCTTCTGGAGCACCCGCATTCCATTAAAATGGTAGTCAAGTATGTACTTGAAACAGTTAGAGCAGCTCAGTCCCAGGAGCATCACTCATCAGTCGTCACTTGCACTAGTCTGATCCCGAAAACGATGAATCCATTTCTTCATCATTCTCATCCAGTTCAAAAAAGATACCAGTTCTAGGACTTCGACTCTCGTGTAGACGGGAAACTTGTTCTAAAACAATACCCTGATCTGCAAGTAACCTGTCAAACTTTTCCTTTTCTGCATCTCCCTTTTCTTTCAAGTATTCCAGACACGCTGTCAACGTAGTGCGGTTTAAAGTCCAAGAAGTACCTTTCCAAGAAAAGATGGCATTTTTCATTGCATCGACTGCCTTCTCCATCTGATTATCTTTGTAGTATCCAGTTGCTAGATAATCCCATGTGCTTGCAGGAATCTTTCTGCCACAGTTTATAGCTCTGTTTATAAATTCTTCAGCCCTTTGCAGCAAGCCCTTTTTAGTATAAGCATTTATCAATGTGTTTGGAATTCGGAAGTCATAAGAAGTGTTCACAGATTCCCATTCCTGAAAAATCTTTTCAGCTTCATCAATGTCATCCAACCAGATTAAAGAGCTTATCATGTGAAAGTACCCATTGTTGGTCATATTTCCTCTCTTCTTGTAAAGATGCCAGATTCGTGTGACTTCATCTTTGTCACCCAAACTGGCATACATACTAAGGAGAATTTGGTAGGCAAGTCCTCTATTGCTACCTCTGATAAGTTTCTCTGCCTTCTTCAGCATGTCAGAAGCTTTATCTTGGAGGTTAGCTCCTAAGTATCCCTTTGCTGCTGTTACACAAGCATTCCAATTCACATTAACTAGAAGGTCATCTTCCATTTTCTTCAAGAGCTTCTCCATGGCCTCTATATCAGAATTTAGAGCATAAGCATTCAACAAGATGCAGTATGCGGGTTTATCAAAAGTTATGCCTTCCTGTTCCATCTGACGAACAAGCTTCTCAAATTTCTCACGCTTTCCCAGCTTAGAGTAGAGGTTCAGCATAATACAGTAGGATAACTTCATATTACAACCAAATCTTCCCATTACACGCATGATTGCCTCAGCCTGTTCCACTAATTTCTTCTTGGCATAGCAATTTAATAGAGAACCATAGACCTTAAAAGTTTTCAGACTATCCGGGACATTACAGAAGTAGTTCTCTGCCTCTTGTAATCCATGTACTTTAGATATTAAATCCAGTCTCACTGCAACATCTTCAGGTGATAGGTTAGAACTGTCAACCATCCACTTGGACAACTGAAAGAAAAATGAGAAATGAGCAATGGAGCCAAAAGTTTCAGCACTCATGGGGCTCCAATTAGAGGAGATAATTCAGGCATTCATACAATATAGCCTTGAAACTTTGCAGGTTCAAATGAATTGCATATTATACTGAAGAAACAGCAAGTGGCTCAAGGAGCTTTTGTGGTCTACACGGTAAAAATAACTTAAAGGCTACATTAACTTGATCTACCTTTTAGTTTCTCAACATCATAAAGATCTCCCCTCGGATTTCTTACATTATACCCCCTCTCTTATTAGTTTTTTCAATTAAACAAATTTAAGTTACATATTAGACTACTTTTGCTCCATTCAATAAAACATGTTACAAGTTTTACCAATCAAAGTAATGCTAGAAGCTTAGTTTTCATGAAATCACAAATTAATGTGAAAATAATGACGACAACTTGTTTGTTAATTTTATGATAATGAAGTTACTGTTAAAACGAAAAAAATAGCTAATTCTTAAAACAAAGAATTTACCTCACTTGACTATGAAAGATGGTATATGATGATTATCAATGTGGAAAGATATATTACAACATAGCGGACAACTCTAAATTCGTCTAAGAATGTCAAGAAAGAGGTATTGCAGAGAAAACCATCTTTGGCCATATTTTCTTGAAAGGAATCGCAGCTTATGAATAGCTCGGATAATTCATTTCCTTGTCCATTTCCCCAAAAATAGAGATTTGAAGGATTCAAGATCGCAATGTACCCTCAACAGCACATGCTGCAATTATGCAAACCACTCTAGCACCAGCCTTTCAAAGTGTAATCTATTGCCACATATAAAATCTTTTGCCACTTAGTAAATGCAACAATTTCTCAAGATAGGTGCAACTTCTGTAAACACCAAAGTAACAACACTACCTGTAACATCCTATGTAAGTAGACTGATTGGAATCCAGACATGAGGGAGTAATACATCTCAACTATTTTATCCAAATATAAGACAGCACCAACTTCTTAATGTTCAGTTACTGTTTCTCAAAATTTTATCTTCATCATGATTTTTAATTTGATAATATCATAATAAGCATATGATAATATTATAAAAAAAAAAAAAGAGCATATGATAATAAGCACTACGCAATTGCATCTGTTTGTTTATAGAAGAAATCAAAATGCAGGTTGATATGGTTATTCTCATACCACAAGCACGCCAAGTGTTCTTTCAGTCTCTTAACTAGTAGCACTTTCTTTAAGTGGAGGAGTTTGCATACATATTAGCGGTGAAATTTCAAGATTCCTAGCTCAGGTGAGAAACTTTCAATACATTCTTGTTAAGCACACTTAATTACTTCTTTGTGTGAAACCTCCAAATCAATCAGATAAGGCAAGAGCACAAGAAAAAATATGATAAAAAGCATGAAAGTTCTGAAAGTGCAGAACTTTAAGATCGAGGTTTTGAACCATAATACACTCACTTCAGATTGAACAGATTTCAACGAGTTTCATGGCTCTCATTTTAAGACCCCAAGTTCTAACAGCTATATTTTCCCAAATCTGTATCTGATGATCCATATAACTTACAAAGAACAATTGGAAAAAGCAGTTATGGGAAAACAGTAGGAATGATCTATCAAATGGCAACAATGCAATGAAGATTCAGATGCATGTTGAGTAGGAAGAACAAAGCATTGTGGAGATTTGAATGGAAAACCTGCTAGATGTGACATCAAGAACGGTAGAAGTAAAGTCCTGTAGCCAAATATTTTACTTCACCACTGATTAAGTTTTCACTAGTGGGACAGTTGCAGTTATTGCAGCACCACGTTGGCTTCCCATTATACTTGTTTTCAATCATTTCATTGTCTATCTCACTTTCAGAAACAGCCTCCAAATATAGTATTGCATTTCTAACCGTCTTCGATATTTTAGATTTGGCACTTCACAGCTTAGCAAATTCAACTATATTTTATATTTTAGATTTGACTTTTCACATCTTACCAAATTCCACTAGAAAATTGACTTCATAGAATTAATACATCAGACCAGGTTTTTCGAAACCTTATTTCCTTTTGGAACAAACCATCCATCAGGGCACCAGGTACAAATCTCAAGGGATGGTCTCTTAAGGTATAAAACAGAAATTTCCCATGGGAATGCTTCAATTTACTTCCCAACCAACTCAGCAGCACAAAGCCACAACATTTCTGAAATCAAAGACCCTATTTCTTCTGATCGCTCAAGGTGCTATGCAAGCATGAATTTTCAAAGTTAATCCCATCATTTCCCTAAATTTCATCAGCATCAGTATCAAACATATTCAGCAACCATTTTAGCCTAAAAAAGTTCCTTTCATTAAAAGTTATCAAAAATCCTTCATCAGTGGGCGTGCATGACTAATTTTTTCAACCTTTCCAACCTTGGTTCAATAGGAGCGTTCCAAGTCAGAAAGACTGAGCTAGTGCTGTCTTTCCTTTCCCTAACATCGACCAAAACTAAACACCACATACTAAAAAAATATTGATTCATTTCCCATTTAATTCAAAGTCATAAAATATCTTCAATTTAGGGTCTAATTTTCCATAATCTAACCTCATTAGTCTTAATGCATACTCACATAATCACAAGTCACACATACCCAATAAAGTAATAAAGATCACTTCTTTTCTTTTTCCTCAATAGGATTATGCATAGAGCATTTACAACCTAGAACCTAATAGCAAATCACTTAACAGAGGATTTACAACAAGTCCAATAAATGCAGATAAACAAATAATCACATTTTTCTTGCATAACCTAATAGACAGGCCTGAAGAGCATGAGTGTAGCGTCTGTTTTTCCTCAGGATTTTGAAGATGGTTTTGAGCTCGGATTGATGAACGGGTCGGCCTTCCCGAACCCATTGATCAAGAATTGGGACAATGGAAACCTGAGGGTCTCCAGCTGGTAAAATTCTCTTGAACAAAGTGTTTGGGGAGGGGGAAACTGAGGTCTTTGTTGAAAATGAGAAAAACCCAGATGCCTCATTCCAATTATAGTGTGATTTCTTGCAGAAATTCAACAAGTTTTTGAAGGAATTAATCATTTGTGCAGGCAGAGGAATGATTTTGCAGTATGTTCTTTCTTGTTGTGGAGGGAGATTTTACAAAGGTTTATGATGATCTGGGCCGGGCTATGACTTATGAGCCTAAAAAGGCTTCTATTTGATTGTGGGCTTGCTTTCGAAATCACATTTGGTACTGAGGTTTCATTTGTATGGTCTGACCCAAGGTATGCGGATTTAGGCCCTTTTTGTACCTATGGGTTTTCGTATAGGCGAGTTGTAAGTTTTTTTTTTGTTTGAGGTTTTAAATCCGACACCTATTATTTACAGTATTTCATTGGAGTTGTAAGTTTAAATCATTTTAAAGTGAAAAAGATATATTGGACAAGTTTTTACTTTAGCCCCTTATAATTTAGCTTCGACACTTTTTGTCCTTTATCCTATTCACGTTTTAATTTTTTTGAGTTTTCTTGTTTGATTTTAGTCCCTCAGTTTTATTATTTACTTATGCGATGCTTTTCATTTATGCTTTTCTTCCTTTTAGAAAAATTTCAGAAAGGCTTGAATAGGAATGAAGAAGCAAGAAGGGAAATGAAAAGTAGAAAAGGAGAATCAAAAGAAATATTATTATCCATGAATAATATCCAATTCTTGATCCTTTTTATTTATATAGTTTCTATTTTTAACATTTTATTAATTGATTTCAATTTCTTTCTTTAGAAATAGAAGGGACCAAATGTGTGAATATTGAAACATGAGAGTAGTAAGTAGAACATGAAAACACAAAATTAAGACTAGGATAAAAAATTTTAAAAGAAAGGGACCTGAATTAAATTTGCACATTTGAGAAAGGTTTGAAAACCTGACTTTGTGATCGAAATTTTGATGCCTTTTAAGGAAATATTAATTTACTAACAACAAGATTTGCTCAATTAGCTTGCTGTTGAAAAACAATTTTGACTTCAAATGAAGGAGGAGTTGATGTGAAATCAAACTGGTTATTTCTATGGAGGACTTTTATGATTCTTGGAACTTTTCTCTTATTCAATTCTAATATCAAATCAACAAATTTCATCTTAATTTAAGAAAATGCATATTTATTAAGAAGTGAAGTTTAAGGACCAGCAATTTGAGATGTACTAAGGCCGAGTTTTCTAAATGAATTGTTTTTGGCTCAACTAGACAAGTAATTCTGTTGACAGATAGAGTCCCCATATACTGCAATTCTTGATGAAAAAGAAAAAAAAAGGTGGTGCTAGTGGAACATATTTGTCCTACAATCTTGTCATATCTATTCTTGAATTCACTATTCACCTTAGCTGTTCTTGGTAAAAGCAAAAAATATAACGTATATAAACAGATTAAACATATTCAACTTACACTTTTATATCCAATATATAAACTTTCAAAATACATGCTACCTCATTGTGATCATATTACCGGCCGGCCAAGAAAATATGTGCTTATTGCAAACTAAGAAAATAAAGAACCAAACCAGATGGATAAATGCTCTTTACAATACTAAAAGGAGAGGAGATTTTAATTGATGCATCTGTAAAAAAAAAAAAAAAAAATGTATTCCTTCACAAACCATCATATAAATATGATAATACAGTACATCCTTTCACGTATAGACATTTTGAAACCCTTACCCACATGTATAAAAAAAAAAAAAAAAATTCGGGTTTTCGGTAACATGTTTGGTGTCATAGTACTCCTATTTTACGTTTTATTACACTCCGTCTTTAAACTATCTAAGCTGCTAAAATAAAACAATTTCATCAACGTGCATTCTTGAATGCCAAGCTGCTTATTTACTATAGTATAAGTACTCTTTGCTTCACTTTCTTGGGGGGAAGGACACATCCAGGGCTTAACAATTTCTTATTTGTAATAGGACTAGACCCTGATGGAGGTGTTGGACCACGCTTTGGTAACGTTGAAGCATATACAGCAGACTTCTGTATTCTTGACCTGCTTTGCCTCCCAGTTTCAACTTCTCCCTCAAATCCCTTGCCACCATGGCCTTCTTCTCCTCCTCCTCTCTGACCAAGCAAACGTCCCTCAGCCTGCAGCATTACTCTAGCTATTAAGGAAAAGAAACAGGATTGGTGATGCTGTGACGATTTCTTGAGCTTGATAAAGAACCCCATTTTGTGGTAATTTAGTTCTAATCGATCGTATATACAGCACCAGCAGGCCTCAAAGAGTAGTATTAGACACTAGTCAATGAGATTTTGCACATAATATGCTGGTGATTAGAGATGAAAAGCACGTACATGTATGCCCAGAACCGGAACCTAAGAGCTGGCTGAGCAGTGTATATCAATTGGTCAACCTCAGCTGGCTACAAATCATACTTTATTGTCAATTTGAAGAAGAGAATAATTCTCTATAAGGCAAAAACTAGCTTCTTGAAAGGTGAATAATCTATATTTTTGACCCAAACTGATAATTCAAAGAGTAAATCTTATATATACTGACAGCTAGTGTATATACTATCACTATTTGATTTATGACATTTGTGAAAAAGTTGAATTTTAAATTCAAAATTTTCATAATTATCGTTCATCCAGCACTGATATCAGTGTAGAAAAGATTGATCCTAATTTAAAAGCCTTGTTTATATAGGCATTGAGGTTTGAAGGCACGGCCAATTGGATTATTTAGTTGAAAGTCTTATGCATGATAATGATTATTTAGTGGTTGTGGGATGTTTTAGTGCCTTAATTCGATGTGCAACTATTTCCATGAAATATTTGAGAGAGACCTGTGTTTTTTTTTTTTGTCCCATGGCAAGTGCAAATGGAGTACAATGCATGCCAAATTGTGATAATATTTGTACTTTTCTTGTCGTATTGGATTGTAGGAAATAAATTTCATGGACATTAGTCCTATTAAAGGTGTAAAACCCGATTGATTCTTAGTTCTTACTCCCAAGCAAGGCATTGGTACATTAAGGAAGCAACCCCAGGATTGGTGGACAAAGTCAAGAAGAATGGTCTGCAAGATGGCTTTTCCAGATGCTTTTAGTTTTGTTTTCTTAAGCCCTATGAATAACGTTTATGGACAATAATTAATCTGATTTAATCTTTTCTTTTTCTTTTTCTTTTTGGCGAACTAGAGATTGGGAAAGTTAGAATGTGATGTAGACCTGCGCCTAAGATGTGTGTATGTAAGTAGTAATTTAAGAATCTCTTTGAAAACTAACATACTTCCATTTTCTTTTTTCTGCCACAATGGATTACTTCTTTTGACCCAGTTCTTCAAATGATGAATTTGCCTTATCTTTAAGAATTAAGCCTAATAATTCACTTTTTCACACAAAAATTCTAAGCTAAAGTGTGTGTGTGTGTGTGTGTATATATATATAATTTTTTTTTTTTTTTTTTTTGCATGAGTGTCCCATTTGCTGTTGACTTATCTCTAATTATGGCCGAATTGTCCCCAAAAATATTTTGCATCAAAATCATACCATGAAGTTCACGCTAAGGGCCCTGTTATAGAGACATTTGAGAAAGAATCTGGTCCTACACATAATCAAATTCAAAGGTAGCATTTTGCATGCTAAACGTTGTCTAGGATAAGATGGATCATAGTTTGAGATTTCAAGAGTTGGAAGTCTTAGATTTCAATTTCTCTTCCTCCTTTTAGTTTTAGTCTTTTAGATCCCACCCCCTTTCCTGAGTAAAATTTAAAAAAAAAAAAAAAGGAATGATTTCAGAAACCTCTCCTGAGGTTTCTAATAATTTCACTTAGCTCTTTTAAGGTTTTAAAAATTACACCTATGTCCCTTGCCCATTTAATATGACAATACTAATCTTAATATTTTAATAAAACTCCATGGTTGCCATGTTTATACAAAGGATGGATTTTATAATTTTTTTTCTTTTTCCTTCTTATTCATTTCTCTAATATTTCATTAGAATTATAGAAGAACTATCAATGTTATCCCTAATATCTATCTAGATCAAACGTTAAACGAGTAATTTTTTTTGATAACTTTGAATATCATCCAAGTTTTAGTAGCTCTTTTTTTTTTGTATCAAAATGAAGAATAATTAAAAACAAATGGCCCAAAATCACTACCAAACTATGGTAGTTCAATCACTAAACTAGTCCATAAACTTTTATTTAAAAAAATAGTCCATAAACTTAAAAAAAAAAATTAGCACTTTTTTCTCTATCTTAAAAAGAATCTATATCCCTAATAAAGCACTATAAACAATAGCCTATTATACCAAAAGATTTATTGTCATAGTTGATCATCAATTAACTATTGGCATGAAAAACTTGAGACTCTTTGTCTTTTATAATTAAACCAAATTACTTTACAATTGTTTAGAAGAATAAATTAAACTTTATAAGATAACGGCGTTTTAGGGTATTCATTAAAATTTTGACTCTATTTTAAGGTTTGGTTACCAAAGTATCAAATCAAGGGAGGTAAATGTAATTTTTAAAACTTTAAGAGAACTAAATGAAATAGTCAAAAATCTCAGGGGAAGTTTTTGAAATTATCCCCAAAAAAATGGATCATGGTTCAATAAAAAAAAAAAGGATGGTCATATTTTCTATTAAGAGGACCTGTATTGTCTCAGGATGGTGGAATAATTTTGACCCACTTGTGATCAACGACTAATTTAACTATCGACTAATTTGTCTATGCTCGAAATTAATTTCAATTATGCCAATTATTTGCTAAGTTGGGTTGGATTCATCAATATTATTAGTTTTTCAAGAGGGCGAAACCATGTAAATCGAATCTATGACAGAATAATTCACGGGAGAGACAACGATTTGGAAACAAAATAGCTCTTAAAATCTCTTTTTATTCTTTGTTGTCGAATGTTCCACCGTTACTTGTTGCATTATGCTGGCCCTATCCAATAAATTTAGTATATCATCATTTACGTGCTGTTTCACGCCCTTTGCCTGTAATAATTTATAAAAGACATTATTATCATGTGGAGATCATAGGAGCAGGAAATACCAAGACTAGTTAGGTACTAACACCAAATTATTAAGGTAACGTGATCATTTGAATTGCCTTCATGTTCTAATGGGACACTATGACCAATCCTATCAAGTGATTTTAATGTCTTATCCTTCTGATTTGCTTTTTTTTCCTATGGCGCAAATTGCCATGATATGAAGTAGAAGGATCTTGGAGTAAAGCCCTAAGGTAAACAACTAGAAGAGCAAGAAAAATGCAGATCAGAAATGAACCAAATATATCTTAGGATGGTTTTTTTTTCCGCAACGATAGAATTCCTATAGTTTAATATAACCGAATCTAGCGAGAAGGGCAAGGGAGGACTGATGTGATAATCTAGGGAGAGGGGGAGGGGGAGGGAGACTGATGTGAGTAGAGACTCCATCAATTAAGGCCAATTAAGGCCGCCACATATAGTGACAACACCACCAAGACTGACGGTGACCACCAAGCCAAAGGCCTAGTGGCATCTTAGGATGGCTAAAATGGACTATTTAAAAATCGTAGCTGACAACTTGTACTGGAAGATCACTATATAAGCCAGGCAAATGTGTGAAAACATGGTACAGAAAGGGAGAAAAAAAAAGAAGGAAGAAGCCTATTAGCTGAAAATACAGTTACAGAGAAACCGACGGGAATTGAATATACGGATGCAAGAGACACCTCCGTGAATCTAAGAGAAGCCACATTAAGTGGCAATTTTTTGATAAGAGTCAAGATTTGAACCTTTGACCTCCAACCCTATAAAAAACATGTGAAGGTCAATCATTCTAGAAATAGTTGGTTACAAAGGTTATCATAGTTGGTAAAGTGTTTCCCTTGCTAATGCACCCTTGTATTTGTTCTTGTGTCCCAGTTAACCTTGTTAACTTATAATTCACTTAAAGATTAAAGAAAAAAGAATGCATTAGATCTTTTGAGTGTCTAATGGGCTATATGGCCACCTCCAAAGCAGTTGCCATTGTTTTACTATTAAGAGGAAATTTGAGTTAATTATCTACTGATACAATTTTGCATGTCTTGTGCTTGTAAGTAGACTTCTTTGTTCTATATAAAATACCAGAATGGGAGAAGGAAAACTACCTGCCATTGCATGACTGAAAGCTGAAAAGCAGAAAGTAGATAAGAATGGGAGATATTTCTTAAGAATCAAGTGTACAAAGTTGTGAGCTAGACGCTATCCAACATGCACATTGACAGTATATTATGAAGAACAAATCTGGAGAGAAGGGTAGTGAAGACAAAGCACCAATAATAAAGAGGAGGAGAAGAAGAAGGTTCATTATGAGAAAACTACTAGGAGCCAAAAAAGAAAAAAAGACAGAAGATGCAGATGATGGCAAATCGGAAGCTTCATTATGAGCTTGTCTTGATGTAATGGGGACCGATAAGAAGAAATTAAGGATTTAAGAATACCCAACCCACACGCCTAATAGTTCAAATCACCATGGACCATCAGAGGGGCTAGAATTTTCTAGTGATGAGGAAAGAAATGACCTTTGTTGGCCTTTTCTCAAAGAGTTTGATGAGAATCTTAAAAAGTTTGTGTCCAAAATAGATTAGTAAACCAATCAAAATTTAGTTAGTCACCGAAGTTTGGAAGCTTCTCCTCCATCAACTTCCAAAGTTGCCGCCACGGCACTTGCTCCTGCTAACATATTGTACGATATGGCACACCACCGCCATAGCCCCCACCATCCACCATTTGTTTCTGTTTACCTCATCAACAATGTTGACACTAGTGAAAATGACTAGAAGTAAAATGGAGAACAAAATTTTACTTGCAACCAAACTTAAATGCATGTGGGTTCTTGATCATGGGACTGAAGGGTCTACGAGTTGCCTATTCATTCAACCATTTTGCTTCCCAAATTTGACTAAACCTTACCACCTATCAACATATATAGTGGACCATTATGCTACTTGTAATCATGAACATATCCATCTTATCTATGGTGCTTTGATGCAATTCACTCCTCAAACCTCAATTGTTTCAAGGGAATCAACTTTGTGGCCCACCAGACACTCAATAAGTCAGTTAATTATCTGTGTAGTGTGGCATCAACCACCACCAAAAATGTGCTCCAAACCTTAGAGCAGAGTATGATTGTAGCTTGATAATGGAGGTGAAGTCTGGTCACATGGAATAGAGGGCTTGATGGAGAAATTATTGTACTTCTTTAACCTACATATGTTAGTAGTAATTATTTAAGACTGAGATAATAGGAGGTGAAGTTTGTTTATTAGTCCCTCCTCCATACAACCAAATATTTAGAATTGTTCATACCTAGAAACTGAGATCCAACTAGTATATATCAGCAGCTCCAGATTTGGAGATGGCACACACTCTGTGATTTGCTATTGCTACATTAATAGGCTGAGTTTGTATAACAGGGGTGGATTTTCTTTTTTTACATGTATACGTTTGGGAGGATTGGGAGAAAACTGTATCAAAACAGCAGTAGACATAAAACCATAGAACAGCAGAGGAAAAAACATATTCTGCTGAGAGATTTGTCAGCCTGCATCACTTGCCTTCTCATCCTCGGAGTGCTACCACCTGACAGATGAAATGAATTTGGGTATGAATAGGCCTGTGGGTTCCCAAACATCCTAGTAAGAACCATTTCCCCAAGCATCGTGACCAATGGATGATACGTGTTCGGTCTCATTGTGCCACTGGAAAACTGAGGGTAAGATTGTGGTGGTTGTGTGTAACTTAGTCGGTGAAGCTGTGGAACTGCTCGTGAGATATTCGGCGTTGTGGGTAATGGCAGCATACTTCCACATTTTGGGCTTGGTGGCCTTTGCGGGATGACTATGCCTAGTTGTCCCGCTTTTGCTTCGGAAGGCTTTGTAGCGAGTCCCCTACCATAGAGAGGAATTACACTTTCTTCAGATAGTTCAGCCTTGCAGACAGGACATTGTGGCTGTTGGAGGTTGCAATTTTCAGAAGGCATGCTCTGAAAATGGATCCATTTGTAGATGCAGGGCCAACAATAGAGGTGGCCACAGAACGTGACGACAGGATCTCGTGCGCAACCCAGGCAAATGTTACAGTCCAAACCCCCCGAAGGATTATCTTCCAGCTCATCCGGTGAATGGGATTTGCACTTTGTCAATGAAATGTCATCTCGATCGAAGTTGTTTTCAACTGCTGGCTCTTGGAAATACTCCTCCATTACTATTTGCTTTTCTTGTCAAGTAAAATTTTGATACTATTACCTTAAAACAAAAGGGCAGAAATAAAGATGGTTAGATTCAACCGCTCACAACAACAAGAAGTTGCAAATTTCTATTATTTCTGATAAACTATATGCATAAATATCTGCCAAGGTAAAAGTGTTATTCAACATCAAAAGCATGAACGGGTTTGGACACTAATTCCATGGTTAAAGCTTCACAATCCCACTCATTATGATCTTAATTTATGTCCTCATCCAAAAGGTATCAGAAGCAGAGACTGAAAGAGGTTACCATCCATCATAGGGCGTTTCAATTTGACTGAATTATTTAAGTAATCCAATCGAACAGAACGTTGAACAATGCTGCCATTTAGCTATTACAATACATAGCTTATAGTAATAATACAATATTGCACAGGTTGCGTACAAGTAGCCGGTCCTGGCTGGGCAAGGGACCACTTGAAAACCATGACCTACCAGTTCAGAAAGTAAATAAGAAACAATTTCCCATTGATATAATGGTATACATCAGCTACTCTAATTGTTAAATATGCAAACCACCCAAAATTCAAAGAAACTTCCGATTGAACTATATTATTGCTCTAATAGCTAACCACAATCTTCTACAAGGTTTTTTGATAGCAGAGCCTATCCGGTTATCAAGATCACCTATTTTTCATCCTTTCTTAGCTCTATCATACAAAATAACATATCAGGAAGTTTCAAAAATCAGATTAACTACTCTTCTATCTCTACCTTTGAAAACATATTTAGATGGACAAAAAGGAGATCACGGGTTTTTGCACTACAGGTAGGTGAGACTTTGGTTGGAAATTAATTTTGCGACATAAACATCCTATCACGTTCTAAGAAACTTTACCACTAACCTTCTACTCAACTACCCAACTTATTTCATAATAAATAGGTGAACAAACAGTGGACAAGGAACAATTAGCACCTCAAGGATAAAACAGTTAATATCACCCACAGAATGAAGTCCTGAACATTGATTGTGAAGATTGATAAACATATTTCTAGAAGATGTTGCAAGAGCCACAACTCAATCAACTGCTCCATATCATCTTCTTTGCACCATTTAGTCCAGAAGACTATCCAAACTAAAGGAGTGTAAGCAAAAAAACACATCCACTTGTGGTACAAGAGAAACTCAATACTCAGATATAGGATGTGATTGATTAACACAAGATTCAATAGTGAGATTCAGGTATTCATTGTACCCAAGAGACAATCAAGACTCTCTGAAAGATATATTCTTCAAAGATCTGGTCAAATAATAAAACAAACCCTTGAAAAATATCAAAAAGAGAAGGATTTCTATGGTCCTTGTTGGAAAAAAAAGGAAGAAGAACAAAAGATAATACTTCATATTGGGGGAAAAAGGGGTGGTGAACTGAAAGGCACCATATGCCGAAAATGAAAACTGAAAAACCCAGAAAGAAAATTGTTAAGGTCATTTTTGAGGCATATAAGGACCGCCAAGAAAGGTACAAATTAAGGTGCTCAGAATTCATCGTCAAAGCTTGGACGGTAGCATGATAAGGGGTCCTCTAACTTGCAGCTGGAACATCCATTTGGTAAAACACTGCATCTAGAAAGTGGCACTAAATACTAGAAGGATTCACCCATCTCAGTAGAGATGGGCAAGAATTGAGAGATTTCGCCATCTCTACCCCACAGATGCAAATTGTGGTACAATTCAGAACTCACAAGAAGGAATACTTCATTAAGCACATCAAACTCTAACAAGATTCACCTGGAAATCATAAGGTGAACTGATAAGAATCAAAACCCCATAGCTTTGATCTCAAATACACAAGACAAGAGTGTTCTCGCACAATTTAAATTGCGAAACATACCCAATTCTTCTTCCTCCCCTTTCCCCCAACACCCCCAATACCAAGTCCAAAAAAAAGCACTCACAATATACAAGAATTTCATCATCCAGGACTATTCTCATCAATAAAGAAAACAAACGAAATCAAGATGTAAATACCAAATGCCGAAAAAATATTGGTACGAAACGCAGTGCTTAAATTATACCAAAAATTTGAACTTCGTCTACCAAGTTTCAAGCTTTATTCAATGTAACCATGAATCATAATCCACCAAAATTTGCTTTGCCCCCTGAACTCACAGAAGCCCCATAAGCCTTATCCAGCTACCCCAGATAAGTACTCTATTCCCCTTCGTTTCACCTTCTATCACTCAAAACAAACAAAGAAAAGATCAGAATTTTCAAAAAACAGATTAAGGCCATTGCAGAAAAACTCAGAGGTTCGAAGGTCAATACCAATACTGAATTGTCTTAACAGAAAGACTCAAACTTTATCCAAATCTCTTCATGCAAATAGATATTCAAAAGCAACCCCTTTTCTATTTTTTGCATACACATACAAAACAGAGGGATAAAGAAGAGAAGATACATACCAAAAGCACAAAAAAGTTGGCCTCTTGATCGAGGAAAAACTGGCAATTTAGTGGCTTCTTCAATACAAAAGACCAAAGATATCCTAAGCTTTTAGCTAAAACAGGGGAGAGAACAGAAATACTTTGGCAAACAGCAAAGCAATGGTGTGCTACGAATCTCTTTTTGCTCTGTTTTCTCTGTTATGGTTTTGGGTTTGCAAGCTGAGGCAGAAAGGCCTAAAATGAGGAGATGAAGAGAAAGGTTTAAGGGGAGGGCTTTATATACCGAGACAAAGGGTCAGATCCCATTATTTAATGTTAAATTGCTACTATATCAAGAAATGGAGCTTTTTGTTTTCGTCCGTATGAAAGTGGACAAATTAAATAAGTTGATTTTTTCTTTTACATTATTTTTTATTTTCTCTAATAACAGGATAAACCTTCCCACGAGACCCGCACAAATAATATTCAAGAAAGCAGACTATCCCCTCGAAAATAAATGTTAAACCTAAATGGCTAAATATAACTATTTGGATAGTAAATTATTTGAGATAATTTTATGAAAAAATACTGTAGTATTTTTTTAATGTGATGTATGTGAGATAAAAAAATGATTAAAAAATGTGTTGATGATACAAACAAGTCAGTGTGTGTAAATAAGGTATAAATAATGTGCATTCCAGACATACTATAATACTAAAAAAAAGTTACTTGCTCCTCCATAACTTGAGTTAAACCTAAATTTAAGATTAAAGTCAAGACTTAACTATTATAATTTTTACGATTGACCCAAAAAAAAAAGCACTTGTAAAAGCGTCTCTCGTCCCTCAATAATGAATACACGTCATAATTCTAAACAGGTTATATCCCTATATCAACCATTTAAGCTAGTTCTTTGATTTCTTTTTCTTTGGTCGGTGTATGTGGAACAGTACAATTAGCTTTAACCACATTTTTTCTACCACTACCAGCCTTTAAGTTAGGCATTAATATTTATCTTCAGGTAAAATAAATAATCAGTTGTCTCTTGAATTGATCGAGATAATAGAGTTGGTGTCATGCCTTCCTACCAATTCGAGTTCGAATCTCTCCTGAAATGTATGTCCGTAACACGGGGTTTGCTTAGTACGTCTCGTTCCTCTGTATGATCAGCGGACTATTGCACGGAATTGAATTTATTCAGTGCACACTCTCAAATAACGACTATCGATTCCCTTGTTAATAAAATAAATAAATAATTAATTAATTAGTGTGTGTCTGTGTGTAAAAGTGTTTTGTGACGTACAAAAGTGGAGCACTTGGCTTCTTTATATAAGAAGAAGATTAGAGTCCTTCTGGATAAACACATATGATTATAGCACACGCAAAGGGGAGGCTGTATTTGTCTTGCTCCGTGGAATCAGGATGGGAGGTCATCCCTTATAGTCTGGCGTGGCAGCTACGGGGGAGCTTGTGTTCTACGCGTTTTTTGGCTAGGTGTGAAATCACAATGCATGTCCTCATCAACTAAAGTATTATCTATCGTCTTCCCTTTCACTTTCATTATTTTATTATGTATGGATCTTTCCTTTGGTTCTTTTTCAGTTTTCTAGTCTATAGTAGTTCTGTTGTTTATATTATGAATTTTCAAGTTGGTTTTAAGGATGTAACCTTTTTCTTCTGTAAGTTAAGTGGACCATTGTTCTAGTTTTAGTGAAGTTTATAAGGGAAATCCAATTTTGTCTTATTTCGAGTGTGGTCCCGGTATATCTTTCGCTTTATTGGTCAAGAATTTAAGCCTTAACATATTTATTAGTGTAAGAAGTTAATACTTTGTACACGTTTCAAGCCCCTTAATCAAGACTAGTAAAATTTTGATTCTAGATGTGGGAACATCTAGATTTGGCTTTAATTTCCTTTTCTAGAGAGAGAGAGAGAGAGAGAGAGGAGTATAGGAAGGTTCGAGATGGCTAAGGAATTTAGGAAACAAAAAAGAAAATGAATAGTTTTATTTTAGATATTTAGGTTAGTTTTGTTGTTGTTGTTATCGTTGTTGTTTATTATAGGATCAAAAACAATTCGAACTCATGTAAAATGTGATCTCTCATTCATAAGGGTTTTTTCTTAAACAGTGTTCAAAAGACACTGATTGATATACCTATATCACACCTAACTTATCATGTAAATGTACACACTAACAATTATTATTATTCTCCCTTTTATATATATATATATTAATTGACTTTATTTTTTAAAAATTTTGAAACATAATATAACGAATGTCCCATGAAAACAATAAAAAAGTTAGACGGATATAAAGGCCTAGTTAAATGCTTGACAACGTGTCCCTTGGAGGAATAACTGTTTGATACCTGTACTATGTATAAGTGGAAGAGATCAATGAAAAGTTAAGCACCACAAAAAGCAAAATCGGTGAAACATCACCATAACTTGTAGGAGGTCATTAAATTAAAGGATTAATTTTCTATACACTGAAAGTGTATATATTTTCATCATTAGATATATGATACGTAATTCGAATTTGAATTTGAAACTCAAATTTTACATATATATATCGTATATTCAATTGTAATAGTATATACAATGTCAGTGTATATAAAATTCACTCTAAATTAAATACTCTAAAAAGCAGCATTGACTCTTGTGGAAAAATGATGGATTGAAAGGTTAAGCACCACACAAACAAAAGTAGTTAAGTATTACCATAACTCGTAATTTGTAACTAAATTACATGCTCTAAACTGCATGTTAAATTAGTTCCACAGCATAAGGGGACAATACTGTATGAAAAAGTCTTTTTTTTTTTTTTGGTAATAGAAGAGGAATGAGATTTAAGAAGCGAGGAGGAAGAATAAGCATTCAGATTCATGACCTCAAGTTTTGATATTTAAACTTTAAGCACCATAACAAGACCTCTTCGGTAGGTTAAATCAGTTACGTACATGTATAGCTGTATTTCGTCTTAATTAGTCGGAAATATTCTCCTCCTATTAATACATATCTATAATTTTGGTCTAAGTGCTTGATAATTCAAACGTTTTGCCTTATAAAGTGGGTTCAATAAGTACCCCCATAAAGTAATCAACGACGTGAAAGATGAAACATGATGTTTAAAGTTAAACTGTTGGCGGTGGTTTTACCTAATTTTTTTTTTTTTTTTTTTGGCATCTAGGCAAAATGGATAAGAACGCACTAACTGTAGATTAGGTGGCTAGTCATAGTACAGTGAAATGCACGATAATTGTGCGCTAATTTAAATTTTGTCTGTTGGGAGGTACGCTATAAAATCAAATTTCATCCTTTTAACGTTTAATGCAAGAGCTTAGACAAATATTCATGGTTCATAACAGTCCTAACTTAGACTTGCAACTTTTCACTTATATAAAATCAAAATGGACCCCTTCATTAATTTTCGCTTAGGAACTGATTTACTTAGTTTAACTACACGAGTTTGGTTTTGTTTAACATCCATGTGACCTCTTTATGATTTGTATAAATATCCATTTTATCTCTCTGTGATTTTTGCATGAATAAATTCATGCAATCTCCTTATGTTTTTATACGAGGTGGGTAAACCGTCAATTGATTTAGCATTTAAATAAGAATACTATTAGTATTTCAACTAACGGTGGAGTACATAGGTTATTTTCCATCAAATTTTCACTTTTCATAAAATTATAGAGGGTGAAGTGGATATTTTGAAACGTTAAAAAGATCATATAATAATAGATAAAACCACCACGGGGGATTATATGTAATTTACCCCTAAAAAGTAATGCTCCACCTAGTTTACCAAGTGACACACTTTTCTTCTGCTGCGATAAAAGCGTGAGACAAAGAGATAAACCAGGAGCATCATCATCTTTTGCACTTCTCTAGAAAAGTCCACCTAATTAAACTATTGGCAGTTGTCATTTGTTAATTAACAGAAGTTGATGTTTTACATCTATAATTAATTATATACGTAATCAAACGAGTTAACCGGAAAAATCTAAGTCGTATTCCTTTTTCAGCAGTACATATTTTTTTGTTTGGCTAATTTTGTCAAACATGAATTAAAAAAAAGGGTAAACATAGAGCATTAGAAGCATCCGTTTGTTTAAAAGAAGTTAACAAGTTATAATACACACCAATAGCTCAATAACCAAATGATCCATATGCTAATGTTAATAATTCCTTTATCTCTTAATCTTGATTAGGATAGCTTTTGATTTTTTTTTCTTTTTTTTTTTTTAAAAAATATAAATGACTGAGTCATGATTTAAGAAAACGCTAAATTCGCATCCCTCCGTCCTAAAATGAAAATCACTTCATATATATACGATTGAATAATAATGGTATAAAATAATAAAGGGTATGCATCAAAAGTGCAAATTTAACGTGAAAGGTATGAATTCAGCCAATTCCAAGCACTTATATTGATAAAAATCTATGTCACTTTCCCTTAACCCTTTAAGGGTTTTCTCGTGCTTTGAAAAGTTCATATACTTCGTGAACCTTTTGAATCAAGACCAGAAACACAATTTGGTTTTTAAATAATCTTGATGTCATCAAGATTAAGAAATAAACAAAAAAAAAAAAAACTTAAAATGGCGCGTGAACTCCCAGCGCATTTTGGTCAAATTATGAACCATGACACGCAACTTTTCATCTGAGTCCCTTTGTTGAATTTCCTAGTTTTTGACAATAAAAATGGCCACTGCGTAAAATGCTAATTTTGACGGACCCTTCAACGGGGTAGAAAATAACGTTTACCGGGAACAGTACGGTCAAAACGAATCCATAACAATTTCAGCCACAAAAATCTAAAATAGTGTACCAAAAAATCTGTTAAAATTGAAAGGACTTTGCATATTCAGTCTTGATCAGCAGTTGAAAATCTGCTATTCAATTTATAGGGAGTTTAGTCGCGGGGCTTATTTTGTCAACATCTTGTGCTGAAGTTCATGAGGGTTGATCAGCCAATTCGTCCAATTTTTGGACCAAAATTCTTAGTCCATTTATGTACTATTGTACCTCTGTTTTTCTCAATCATTCATTCTGTAGTTAGTTTGAGAATATTTTATTCCTAGTCAAAATTCTTCTTCGCCGGTTCATCTAATTCTTCAATCACTAGATATCTTTAATTCTTTTGACTGTTCATACTTTTTCTTTGGTTGATTACTAGTCAATATATTTGAATCTTGGGATAGCATCCAGTTCATAACGATTCTTATTGAATGGAAGTTTTCGTTTTTTTTTTATTTATAAAATAGAAGGAAGAAGGAAATGGGAAAGGAGAACCGGAAAATTCAAATGAAACAGAA